GTTTGTCTACTGCATCCCTGTGGGAACACACGAGTTCACTGTGGAGTACGTACTGCCAGCTGCCCGTGGCTCACCTGCACCAACAGCGCTTAGCTTGTCCTCCCTGCCGGCAGCAGTGGGGCCGGGACAGAGGCATTAGCCTGCCTGCCTGCAAGAGCTCAGCACAACAACCAGAAGTGCTGCCATCACTGGGAGGGGCTCGTAATCCAGGAACACAGATACTATTGTATCTTTAATGAAAATAGCCCTCTATTTTAAAGTACTGCCAATGTACAATGAATGATCCCGTGACAAACGGGCCCTAGCACGTGTCTTTCAATAGGGGTCATAGCCCTATGGATGCTCAGCTTAAATAAAATAGCAGAACATTTGTGCATCCATTTCTAACAAGTATTTCTTCTCTGAATTAAGAGCAAGAATGAGCACTTGGAATTAATTGTGATTAACACGAGTTAACCAGGAACCGTTGTTTGTCCTTGGTTTTGTTGAATTTGAGAATAACCTTATTTTGAAAAACTGTTGAGCTGTAACATGCTTTTCACAGAGCAATTAGAAAACAGCATAGGGCATTTGCTTCCTTTCATGCCTGCAGCCTAAAGGAACAGAGTGGTATTGAATTCCCACTTTGTTTTCTTTGAAAGCATTGTTTTCATTGAAAATGAAATGTAATTACACAGGAGTCTAATGGGAGTAAATGTTTTTGGAGTAACTATGTTATGTAAAATTTGTGGAGGGGGGCTTCTGGTTTTTCTTTTAAGCATCCATTTGAATCACTTGTGATATCTGCAAGGAAAATTAATACATCAGAGCTTTTGCTTTCTAGATTAATGTCCAGCATATTTATTACTCAGTGTAATGGCTGATTAGCAAGTGTTTACTGTAAACAGATTTGGGTGAAACCTGCTCTGTGTGATGTGTTTCTTGTTTCAGGCAGTGCTTTGGAGATGGCTTGCACTGGGCTGGCTGTATGATCATTGTGCTTTTGGGGCAGCAACGCCGCTTCGACGTGCTGGATTTCTGCTACCACCTGTTGAAAGTCCAAAAGCACGATGGCAAAGATGAGGTTATAAAGAATGTGGTGAGTTGAAAACATCTGTTCTGTATCCCCTGTAGTAAGACAGACAGCAACAACTCAGAGCTGTTTGTACTCAAATGCAGCATAGATGTAGCAATTGTTTTTTAGAATGAATTGCTGAAGATTGAGGGCACCAGGAACTTTAGAAACAAAAGGTAAGGGCATCAGTACTGGAGTGTGAAGACTGATCACATAGAATTCTGATGTCCCAAATATGTGAGATTTTCTTAATGCCTTCCATGTCATATATTCAGATAATGACAAGACTGCTGTAAATTGAACTTCTTTTTACCAAAAGCAGCACTGTTAAAAACCAAAACAAGCCTTGGATTTCCACTGGCTTAGCAGTGAAATGGAAACATTGGTAACATTGCTCAGAGAAGCGAAGTAACAGCATTTGCTGCTTTTCTGTCTAAGGCTTTTTATCTCCAAAGCTAATTCTTGTGTGTCTGGTTTTTTGATGTTTGCAGCCTTTGAAGAAAATGGTTGAGAGAATTCGCAAGTTCCAGATTCTGAATGATGAAATAATTGCTATTTTGGATAAGTATTTGAAGTCCGGCGATGGAGAGAGCACTCCTGTGGAACACGTGCGCTGCTTCCAGCCACCTATCCATCAGTCCCTTGCCAGCAACTAGAATTTCTACTCGACAATATTTTTTGCACCTATTTAGGCTAAAAGTTTGAGAAAAAAAACACCAAGAAATAAACCCCACATCAACAGTCTTAAGGACTACTCTCATCTGCATTTTCCAGTATGCTTGTGCCATTTGAGTGGTGCGCTGTCCTCTCCAGTCTCCAAGCACAGTAACTGTATACAATCCATACTTATTTTTCTAGACTAAATTTTTATACACTTTGATTAAAAGCCTGTAAGATTTTTGAAATCTCTTTGCATTCCTGTCCCAAAGTGGCCATTTTAGACTGGACTGGCGTAATTTTTCCCTGAAGTTACCAAAATAATGGCTGTGGAGGATAAAAAACTGGTTTCTGTAGAAAAAAAATTTTTAGAAATCAATGCATAATTGTTTGTATTAGAGCCTTAACTGCTAATTTGCCTTTATTAAAAAAAAAAAAAAGAAAAAAACAACAAAACAAACTCTGCTGGTGCTTTGTGAATAATTTTTGTAGTCAGTTGATTATTTTTCTTCCTTGCAAAACTATTCTCTGAAATCAGTCATTATAGAAATGGAGACTAATTAAAGTGTTTGTTTCAAAGTTATTTGGCATGAGGGTGATCGACAGTATTCTGATCTTTTTAAAAGCAGTAGTTTGATTAGAATGGGGACTGTTTACTTTTTCCTAATGAGAACTTTTAACAAACAGAGTTTATATTTTGGTTGGATACCTATCTGTGTACCCAAACACGTTTACAAGTGATAAGGAATTGCTGACTACAGCAATCAGGTGTAATCTATCCCAGTACATAAATTCTAATGATGTTAAACATGATTTACTTATGGAAAATATTCGTTTAATTACACTTGCTGTATTATGCAAACACCGCATCAGTAAAATTGTTTGTAAAACTTTGCAACTGTAAAAGTTGAATTTTAAAGCAACTCATTCAGGCAAAAGTAGTAACTCCTGCTTGCTTACTCCAGGATCCTAGCAGAGTTCATCAGCTGGCTGTTGGGATCAGCCCAAACCAAACATGAGTAAAGGATGGCCAGAACAGACACAGACAGATAATTACACGTTTTACCCAGGATACGGATATCTGGAGATGTTACTTGGTTAGTGTTTCTAACCCATAGTATGAGACCAAGAATGCATCCCTTTGAGAACCTGTTCTTCCCCCTTCCCTCTTACCAGTTCATGGTTAGGTTACAGCACATCTTTTCTCCTGCTCACCTCTTTCCAGATGCTTCACAGCCATGGGATTGAGTCCAGTAATGGGCAGAAATGAGCCTCTGACAGAGGAAGTATGCAGGAGGTGAGCAGTGTGTAGGGACTGGGGTGGCAGGGAACTGGCTTCTGAAGAATGAAATTAACTTAGATTTCCTCAGCTAAACAGAGGATGGAGATTTGCCAGGCAATCTATAAGCAAGTTTCCACCATCACAGGTTTTCCCAGGACATCTGTGCTTCAGAGCTGCCATTATGGAGTAGTGTCTGTTGTGGTGAAAGCACACACAAGGCTGCCTGCTATGTGGGAGACGGAAGTAAGAAGCACTTGTGCTTTGTTTGTTACACCAGCTTCTTGCAGGATTTCTTTTACAAGGTGTTAAACAGACGATTTTCTTTAAGAAACATTTTTTAGTTCTCAGAAGACTTCTGGTCAACCAGATTCCTCTGTGTGCTTCAGGCTTTAATTAAGTACATGAACAACTTTCCTAATTTTGTTGAGATAATCATTGGTTTAGGGATGTTTCACACACTTGAGGCTTTGGCTTGGCACTATGGTGCAGAAATGGTTAACTAATAAAGCCTGAGTTTTTATTTAAGAACTATTTAAAATAAAAATAACTAGTAATGATATTAGTAAACTAAATTCTAATTCTCACCAGTTAACTTTCAGCAGTAAGAGAATTGGTCTCTAACATCTTTAAACTACTTTTTACATACTTTCTGATCACTAAAAAGTTAAGAGAATTCAGACATTAGTCCTAGGAATTTTCAACAGGATTAAACTTTGATAGCAGCTAAATCCTCTTCACCTGGTATGACTTCACCTACCTAAAAGGGAAAATGCAGGAAGGTGCACAAAAGGTGTAACTTTTTAATTTTTAATTAGTTATCAAAACCAGTGGGTCTAGAGGCAAAAGTGCCCATCACCACAGAAAGTAACAGACTCTACTGTGTGAAATTATAACCTGCTCTTGAGGTAGGCTGGTGCTTTCATACTCGAAGTGGCAACCAAGTTCAGCAACTGCCTCGGCTGTTTGATGCCCTCCATGTCCCTCCTTGTTTCTGTGCTCTTCCTTGCGTCAGCACTGGAGGGACTTTTCCCCCCTGCCTGAGTGCTGCTGACATGTTCCTTACAATGAGGTGCAAGTTCAAATCCTGTTCTTCAGCCAGAACTGAAAGAACATTCTTCTTGTTTGACACCTTTGCTGTTCCTGTATGTTGAGACATGCACCAGAGGAAAGCAGCAGAATTTGTTTCACAGGTGAGGATGGTTGAGTAGTTTTTTTTCTATTCTAGGAAAAATCTTAAATACTCTTAAACAGTAAGCACTAAAACTGACAACAACCAGCAATACCTAGTAGCCTCTGTTTGAAGTATTTCCAACCTTCATCTGTATGGTAGAAATGTTTTTATGAAACCTCTATCACTAATTTTTGTTTTCTGCCTTTGCAAACTTAAATTACCACCTACTTGCCTTAACCCTTTTTTAAGCAGTGACATTATGTTCCAATTTTTCTGGCCCTTTTTGAAAAAAAGTGTTACAGCCAGTAACTGTGTTACTGCAAACAAAACAGTAATTCTACTCCAGCAATTCTGAGTTCAAGCAGCAACACCAAGAACACAGAGCAGCTCTGCAGAGCCAGGGCAGCATGGCGCAACACAGACAGAACCTGGCTTTTACAGAAGAAGGAATAGCTTTTTCTGGTTACTATTAATGACTCAAATCCTTCCACCTGCATAAAATGGCATGGCAGGAACCATCGCCTCACCTATCCAAGCAGAGTAGAAGCTCCTGTCTTCTTCTTGTTTCCAGCCAGTTAATCTGATTCTGGTAAATTGGAGGTGTTTTGATGCAAATGCAGCAAGTTTAGCATACAGCTTTACTTAAGCAGTATGTTTAAAGGATCATTTGTGCTCGATTGTAGCTTTCCCTTTCCTCTTTCACAAACTAGGATGGAATGAGTTGCTGCAGCTCCTCTTTCATTATGGTTACAATCACTCCGTGGTCAGTCAAGGCACAAGGACAAAGGATCCAGGTTCGCTGCAACCTTTTTACCACCAATGCAGAAATAAAGCCATTTTATTTTTGATAAAATTGTCATTAGTGCAATACATCTTTAAAACGAATGAAATGAAAGTATTTACACATAACTTAAACAGCAAAACCAGTTGTGGTCTGAGGTCATTTTAGTATTTTTTAAAGTAAAAATAAGGCAAATAAAAACAGTTTCAGTGTTCTTTATCCAAACTAATCAAACTCAAAAATCAACGATTGTCTACACATACTGTTAAAAAGTACAGGAATTTCCAGACAAGATCAGACATTTCACAGCAGAAAAAAAAAAAAAAATTCCAGAGTTACAGAATTGTTCTTTTCTTAAGTAACATGTAGCTATTTTCAGAAGGCTGACAGACTTCCATTTCTCCTGGCTGAGAGACTCTCAGTGGACTGCACTTCACCTAGACAGGCAGAATTTTCTTCATCATCATGAAAGCTGTCGTATGTGCTCAGCAAAGTGCCGTTTGCTGCTCTGTCATCCTTCCGCAAAGAGAGGGGCAGATTTGCTAGGGTGAAATTAACATCTTTGAAGGCATGCAATAAAAAGATCCCCACAATAATAGTCAGGAAGCCACTGAAGGTGCCAATAATGTCATCAGCCGCCATGTGTTGCCACTCCTTGAAAAGGATGGCAGAACAAGTTAAAACAGATGTTGTAAAGATTACATAATATATTGGAGTCACTATTGAAGTGTTGAATATATCCAGAGCCCTGTTTAAATAGTTGATCTGCGTGCTCACACAGACAGTAAGGCTTAGCAGCAGAATCCAAGACAAGGGATGTTTCAGCACTGGTTTTCCCGCAAAAAGTTCCTTTATAGCGATGCCCAAACCTTTTACACAGGAGACTGATAAGGCTCCAATTACAGAGCAAATTGTTATGTACACGAGAATGTTGGTCTGTCCATGGCGAGGTCCCACCACACATATCAAAATTAAAGACACAATGACAACAAGCGTTGCAAAGACCACAAAACCTGTGGTTGGGAGGAAAAAAAAAACAACACCTTGTTAGTTGTGGACACTACCAAAAGCGTCTTAGGGGTATCGAGAAAACACTCCTTAGCAATTTGACTGACTCAGCTTAAACAGAAGAGTTCAGGATGTTTCTCATTACCCCTCCAACATCACAGTTAAAATGATTTTAGAGTGAGCTAGCCAAAACAGTGAACCCCAGGCATGTTGTATGACCTTTACCAGTCTATTGGCAAGACGTCTACAGGATTAGATTGCTAAACTGCCTCACACACAGACTCACTGAGGTGTAGATGCCACTGGATACAGGCTTGAGCCTGAACTGACTCTTTTTAGGGAGTTATGTCTCGGCAGGCGGCTGCATTCATCGCACGTTTCCAACAATCAAGTAATTCTTTAAGAACAGCTTTTTAATCTGTGCTGGCTGTTTCCTCATGTTTAAGATGGGGATTGCCTTTGTATAATTAGTACTTTGCAGATGTGCATTTTTGAGTGCCTCATCTTCCACGTAAGCACAACAGTTTGTCTTCAGAATTTCACTTCTCAGCAGACACTTACCACGACAACTACTTTTTCATTTTGAAGCACAGCTCAAAGTTGGGCTTGGAGACTGACACACTTCAATCAAAATTTATAGAAGTTTTGTTTATCCACCTGTGCTGCTGCATTTATATAAACAGTCATCTCAGTGCTTCACATCAAGACTCTGTTCAAGGCCAGGCAAGTTCACTGGCATCATGCAAAGTTCCCTATGGAATTATGTTACAGAATTCAAATCTCTAATTCATTCAGACAACATGAAGCAGACACAGGCTATCATCCCAAAACTTGAGAGCAGTAGTAATGAATCCATAATAATTATGGGCTGTGTATGTATCAAGCCAGCATTTTTCTTACCTGGATCACCTAGTTTGTGGGACATTTCATCCAAAGTTTCTACTTCCTCCTCTTGTGGAGCATGAATTACCATCACAGTTGATCCCAGTATACTTAGCAAACACCCTATTTTTCCATGTAAATTAAGTTTTTCGTTTAAAAAGAAGGATGACAGAATGGCACTAAGAAAAAAAAAATGCACCAACAAACATGGAATTAGTAATTTTCTCATCAATTTAGAGCTTGCTTTGACTATAAAGGTCACTTGCATACATAGAGTGCAGCTTAAAAATAGCTACATATTTTCTATCTCAAGATACTTGCTACAGACACAACTACCTGTTAATATGTGGCATCTCTCTCCAGAACCTTCTTTTTATGCTGTCAGTGAAAAAAATGCTCTAAGAACTTGCAAAAGTAACTTCAGAAAGACAAAAATCTTTACTTGGGGATGAAAATACTGCTCTGTTGTATATACCAGGTTCTTGAAATGCAGAAGACAATAGTCTTCAGAGATGGAAGTGTAGATGCATTGCTAGAACCCTTTCATATCACAGTCACTAGGTATTTGGAGAAACTTAAAAGTTACTCCTGATGCTTATAAGCACTCTTTATTTATTGTTAAGAACAAATCCCTTTTATTACAGCATAGTTCAGTGACAAATTTCTAAAGAAATGTTTTAATCCTCTCTGCTTTCTGTTAGTTTCTTACCTTACAAGAACACTGAGAGCTCCTAAAGGAGTCACTAACGTAGCTGGTGCAAAAGCATAGGCAGCAAAGTTAGCTACTTCGCCAGCTCCCACTGCAGAGGAACAGTAATTAAAAAACAGGAGTTAAACTCTCACACAGCAAACCTTAGGTTCAGTGCAAGTGTTTGTGTAGACACAGACATGCAGGAAGGAACAATGGAAATTCTAATTACAGCGTTCAGCCAGCAGTACTAGCAGAGCACACCCCTGCCCCTCTGCCTCATTATTAAATTTTAAAAACAGGCTGTGGAACTGCAACAGGTATTAGAATTAATTCTACCAAATCACAAGGTGTTTCCTTTTAGTGTCTGTGTTCTAGCTCCCCAGCCCGCCAACTGGACTCGTGAACTTCTCCATGGAGAAATCTTCAATAGCAGGATACAGCACATCACAGCACATACAATAAGCCAGTTACCTGAATGCAGCCAGTAAGTCGAGAGCTTAAGCAATGAAAAAAGTTCAGAAAATAGACATAATCCCCAAATATGCTTCCCTCTAAGGAATCCTATCTATCTAAGCACTTCTCTGCTACGACAAAACCCAGAATGCATACGGTAGCAAAGACATATAAGAAGACCAATGTCTGTCTAGCTCCACTGCACAAAGAGGGCAGTTAAATTAAAGGAAGAATTTCTGGAGTGAAAGAAGTTACATTAAAATCATTAGAGCTGCACCCATCAATCTCCAGATAGCATTACCATACATCATAGAATCTCAGTCTCATTCCTTTTTTTGTAATCACTGCTGCCATCTGTGGCACAGTTATTTATTAAAATTATATTGTGCAGATTGTATTTTTGACACTTAGATGAATGTATTTTTGATACTTACTTGAAAGAAGTCCAGCCCACCACAGCCACTCCTTAAGGTATGCATGACCGCCTTGACCTAAAAATTGAAAGAATGTTTGCTGCTCCACTAAAAACATACATCAACACTCCAGCACTAGTAACACTGCCATGACATAAAATAATTTTTGTAGCCCGTGCCTTTAAAAACAGGGGCAACCTTTTGATACTTAAGCTTTCTAGGTAGAGAGGTTGAAATCAAAGCAGCTTCAATTTCTGACGTGCATCTGCCTCCTACAGCCTACTTTGAAAACCATTTTATTTCTTTTATATTAGAAATGGCTGATGACCATATATGCATTACTGTGAGAAACAGTTCTTTCAACTCACTGTAATGGCATGAAAAGCCAAGCTATGTGCCTCTTACTAAAAGTGTTACTCTGGAAATCGTACATCGTTTATGTGGTTGATTATATGTTCAAACATCACACTTTCTCAATCCAAACCAGGGAGCATGAACTATGGTATATCAAGATCTATTCATCCCCAGCTGCTAATTGATACTGCGGGTTGCCCCAATCCAGGTGCAGCACCTTGTGCTTGTTCTTGTTGAACCTCATGAGGTTTGCACAGACTCACTCCTCAAGCCCATGCAGGTCCCTCTGGATGCCATCCTTTCCCTCTAGTGCATCAGCTGTCCCACTCAGCTTGGTGTCATTCACGAGTTCGGTGGCAGAGCACTCAATCCCACTGTCTCTATCACTGATGAAGATATTTAACAGTATTCCTTCTGGTGTGAACTCTCAAGGGACACTGCTGGTTACACTCAATTACTACACGTGATTTTTAGTTTTCTAAAACAATCTCCTGACACTCAAACATCGTTAACTCTCCTAATTTCACTCATTAAGGAGCCCAGATGTAGTTAAGAGTGCTGTTTCCAAGTTCCATTTGCAAGTACAATTTAGACTTAACTGACATGTAAAGGAATCCTTTGACAAGTGTCCCCAGAGGGTATTACATACAAATTAAATAGCACGTATCACACACAGAGTTACGGGTATCTGACACCAGAGGAAAAACACATCAGCCCTACAGTTTAGTTTTCATATACATTTAACAAAAAAAAAACCACAAACAAAGTCAAAACAAGATCATTAGTTTAGTAATCTGTTAAAAGGCAAAATCTAAACATTAGCAATTTATTACAAGATGTATTTATTTACCTGCTCTCATGGAGCCTTTCCTTGCTAACCGGAGGAGACCTTTCTTTTTCAGGATGAAACTTCCCCCAATGAAAATGCTGGAACTCATAGCCAACACCAGACCAATACAGAAGTCATATCTCCCACGAGTTTGGCTCATTTCGTAAACTACTAAACACTGTCACATTGATCAGTGAGGAGCAGAACTTCTGTTACTCAACATGAAATGATGCAACACCGAAACCTGAGCAAAATAAACACATTAGAACTAAACTGGTAGAAATACATGCTGCATAGGAAAATTCTCAACAGCTCATGTGACCAGTTCTCCTATAAATGGTCTCTGCTAACAGTGTTTTTTTTTAAAAAAGGCAGTCTTTGAAGCATGTGTAAACTTGCACTATGGGTGACTAACTAACAAGTCTGAACACAGAGAAGGAATGGTTTCTGACCTGGCATATAAAAACTGGAACCCAAACACATAGAAGTTCTTTGAGACATGTTAAGCAAAGCTTACAAATATGTGATTTATTTTTCTTTTCATTGAGTACACAGATCTGTGGCTGGTACACCCTGTAACTGATGACACTGATCAAACAATTACTTACGTTGAAATCAGTCTGTAAGAGAGTTTGAGAACAGTCGCAGCATTTCTTCCACATAAACTCCCTAGAAAAATAAAACAGAATATCAGAAGGGTGTTTAATCATACAGTCATCTCCATAACACAAACAAGCCTGACATGCATGCATATGCAATTATTCTTTAACAGCCAGGAAAATCTGGCAAGAAATAAGGCATTTGTTTGTTGATTTATATTACAGAGTTTCCCATACCTGTATGAAGCACCTGTTTCTTCAAAACATGCTTTCTTTCAATACTACTGTTCCCTGTATTTTCGTGCTTCCTATTTTGATTAATTTTCTATACCCCTAGGGAAAACCTAGCAGAGAGCTACAGGTAGGTTAACATTAAAACTGAACACAGATCCTCCTACTTGCCTCCAGTGAGGCTGTGAAAAAGTATAGCAAAACAGTCTCGTACAAGCACTCAACGTGGCACTAGTCAAAACGCTGCAAGAGCCACGGTTGAAAATTCTCAAATCCTCTTCCCTTAATCCTTGCATAGTAATTTTTAGTATCTTATTTTGTAGGAGAAATGAGAGAGCTTTCATTTTCTAGCAACTTTTAAAAATAAACTAGATTCTTGCATGATACAAAGTCACCTATGGAACAAAACCAAGAAAAACAAATCATAGTGCATGAGATAAACCAGACCCAGCCTCCTCACCTACCGCATAAAATATTCCCCTGGTTTTGAATTCCAACAAGACTTTCAGTCCTCTGAAGAATAAAGGGACTTTTTAATGCAAGGAAAAGACATCAACAGGGTTTTGCAACTGTTCTCTCTGCCATCTTTTCTAGCAGGTGTAAGGCACACTGTTCAGGTAATCAAGCTATGAATGTTCTTCCAGCTCCATCTGGTGCAAAATGTGACACTGGCATAGCATCACCTGGGGGAGGAGGGGCTGCTTTGCTAAGCTTTATACTCTACCACTTTTTTCAACAGCTGCTACTTTAGTTATATTACTAAAGGGAGTATTTTTACTAGTATAAAAGAGTACTCTCCATACTTTATTTCCCCCTTTTCTTCTTTCTCTGGCTTGCGTATCTTCACCTACACTGACAGAGGTAAAGAGCATCAGTTAGTCCCATCCCGACATCTTCCACCCACTGCATTTCAGAGGCAAGGGAGAAGCACAGGCAGCTTTTCTTTGCAGCAGTAGAAGAATCTGATTGCAGAAGAATGAGGAAACTTGTGAGCTAACAGGTAATTTTATGAATTTATACTTTAAAGGATGCTACATTTCAAAACTTGTAGTTCTACTTTCCCCCATGTCCAAAATACACTAAAGAGTTTTTGATGCCCTGTCAGCCCCTTCGTTAAACTTGTAAACTACTCTAATCTTAATCACTTAAATTACACAAATTCAGGTAAATTACTGCTAGCTCTTCTCATCAAGTTTATTTGTCCTCACAGACATGGCCAGTACCATTTCTGCTTGGGCTGGACTGCCGTACTTTCCCCTAAGGTTTATACAGATGTCTACAATTGCAGACAAATGTCACACAGTCATGGTAAACCCAACTTCTCTCTGAAGAGATTTGGTTCCCTTTGCACACAGCACAGATATAATTTGCACAGGTAGAACTGATATATACAGCTGCAAGGTCAAAGCAATACCAGGCACCAGAAGCTTTCCACTGAAGGAAATCAGTAGTTCAATTCTTACCCAAAGACTCAGTAAAGAACTAATGCAGCCTCAAAAATATCATCAAGAAAAATTATCTTTGGAAATAAGAAAAGAAAATGCCATGAAATAAGCAGTTTTTGGAATAAATATGCCTCTTGTGTTTCTGCTTTGGGACATGCAAAGCCACTGCATCTCAGCAGCCAGGGCCACTACAAGGTTATACACAGGAGAGAAACCAGAAGATGTAGGTGTTAAATAAAACCTGCAGTAGTGGAGTTCTGTAAAGGTTCTGTAATCAAGTTCACAGCTGATTTTAACACAAAGAACATTTCATCCACTCAAGACCACCACTGCCATGGACTAGTTTGCTGCTCTGATCTCAGAGGAGTAATGAGGGGATGAGACTCTCCTATCCACAGAAGCTACGACATTTACAATGCCTCCAAAACCCACTCATTAATGAACTGCCTGTGGATCTGCTGGTATCTTGAGTCATAACGCTCAGCACGCAACAGGGCGATGGCAGACTACACAGGGAACATATACTGGGTTGGAATGTTAAAGACAGGGAGAGATGGAGAAACTTGGAATGTAAAAAAAAAAACCCTGTGGAACATAAGCAAGTCCAGATTAGCCACAAAGTTTGTTTGCTTATTTTCAAGGTGTAACCAAAAAGTATGACAAATGCTGGCAAGATACAGATCCTCTCATCTAAAACACAAGGTAATGTTTCTTTGCCTCTTTGCTCAAAAGTCCTTTTCTCCAAAAAGCAGCAAAAACACAGCACTGAAAGATGTTACATATATTGTAGCAAGTAAGTTCTCTAAATATACGAAAAACACTAAAAGAGGTGTCATGAGATGAAGAAATAGTTTACATTCAAAAGCAGGTCAGCTTAAGTAAGTATGTTGGAGATATCAGCCAAAGAAAATTAGTATCAATTCCACAAGTTGTACATTGTATGGAAGCAAGAATTAGGAGCTGGGAAAGGCAGACATGGTAGGTCGTTCCAACTTTACCTACTTGGCCACAGTCCCTCTAGAGTTCAGTAGACAGTCTTACAAGACTTACAAGAAGTAATCTAAATATATGCCAAATTATTTAAATGACAGAATTCACAATTCTCTTATCTAAAACCCGATCTTTTAAACTGTGAACAGGATGATGTCACTAAGCAACAAATTACCTGAACAGGCCACTTACTTCAACCTTTTGTCACGAACTGCATCATTCACTGCTGCTTCTCATCACAAATAAGTTAGCCAAGCTTCTCCCAGGAAAAGGAAGGAACTTGCAAGGGAACCTTCACAAACACGCTTTGATGCCTGTTAGGAATTCTCATTAGCTAATGATCTTCACCTAGATCTTCACTTTTGCTACCAAAGCCACTGTGTTTGTCCATTCTAGACTTGGAAAAAGATACAAGTCTCTTTATCCTTGCACTCGCATGTTAAGATTACTCTGTAAATTAGGTGCTTGGCACCTCCTGCTGTGTCACCCTCTGGGTTCCTTCCCAATACCTTTCTTTAAATGCAACTCCCAAAGCTGCATACAGTACTTTAGCTTGAGTTATTACTTCCACAAATCAGTGGAAAACTGTATTTCTTCTTATACACCCAAAGCAGGTGGTTTTCCTAGCCCTTTCTCAGTAGTCTACTGTTGACTCATTCAGCTTCTTCTATTAGTATAACCTCCTGCACTTGTACAGCAAATTATTCCTGCCTGGATGCAATTCATTCAGACATGACTCACATGGAAGATTTTAAAACAAAGGCCTGTTTAGGCAAAACAAGTTACTCCAGGTACAGCCGTTCCCCATCTTTTGAGTTCTTCTGTGGTATTTTATTGTAAATTCTGCTCTTTTACAAGAGCTCCATGAAAAGTTTTATGTTTCTAACATTGGAATAAAGCACCTACTTAAGGTCCTTTAGCCATAAAGCTTTCTGTGGAAGAAAAAGTGGTTGAATCAACAAGTTGCTTTAATAAATAAACATTGACTATTATGTGTCACACTGGCTATTATATGTTCACTTCTTCCTTTCCATAGGCATAAAACTACAGGAAACAGAAAGAAACACTCCCTAAAAAAATAAAAATCCAAATGCTCAGTGATGAGCCTTTAGAAGGCTCATTATATATACCAATTTTGTTCCAAAATCCAGAGGCATTCATTTCTTAAACATTTCAAAATTAGGTTTCTAAAGCAGAAGTTTGAAATAGTATTAACTGGCATTTTAAGAATTCAGCAAAAAAAACTGTCCACAATTTCAAGCTGATTTCAATTTTCATGCATGACACACAAGGCTTTACAATGTGTCATCTATGCTTTAAAAAAGGACAGGACTTTTGTTTAAAAACACAAAGCAATGTGATTTTAAATTTGATCTTCCTTAGGTATATCTCGTCTGAAGCATTATTTCATCCCTTTGCTTTTCACTTCACAAATCAAAGAAACTAACTTGTGATCTAAGCTATTCTTTAGAAGGTACCATGTTAAAGTTGAACTGAAATACTATCCTAGTCTTTTCCATTTTTTCTGTAACTTAAGTGCTTACAAAATAACTAATATGGTTTTAATTACTGACTTCAGTACGGTGAGCTTTCAGAGGATGTTTATGTAACTCAGAATAAGAATCACAGAATATCCTGAGTTGGAAGGGACCCCTAAGGGTCAAGTCTATCTCATGGTCCTGCACAGGACAGCCCAAAGAATCACACACATGTTTGTCAGGCTTGGTGCTGTGACCACTTGCCTGAGGAGCCTGTTCCAGTGCCCAGCCACTCTCTCGGTGAACAACATTTTCCTAACATTCAGCCTAAACCTCCCCTGACACAGCTTCATGCCTCGCGTCCTGTCACTGGTCACCAGAGAGAAGAGATCAGTGTCTGTCCCTCTGCTTCCCTCGTGAGCAAGTTGTAGATTGCAATGATGTCTCCTCTCAGTGATCTCAGCCACTTCTCCTACAGCTTCCCCTCTAGGGCCTTCATCATCTTTGTAGCCCTCCTTTGGATATCCACAACTCTGGGGCAGTGGGGATTGTGAACACAGAAACAGCCTCAGTAAGGTTACTAAAATCCCCCAAATATATCTGGCTTTTTAATAGAAGTCTTCCTCAGTTATGTTCTGTCCACTCATGAACATATCTGTTAAGCACAGGTATAGAGAGAACATTGAAGGGACAGATGTAACACAGCATTAGGACAGAAGAGATGCCAGTTCAAAACTGAGTCATGTGCATCTTTAGAAGGCCAAGATGCATGCACACAGCACCCAAAGATTCCGTATACACTGTTTAGGAAACAATATACTCAATTTTGCAATTTTGTAGATCTGCCCCAATACAGATACAGTTTTCCAGCTCTAACGAAGTTAAATGACTGCCCAAACTTATACATATAATTATTTACATATTTTGTGGGCAAGCTAAAAGAAATTTGTTTATATTGTTATATCAATGGATATATACTAGCACGTGCTCAGAAAGGAAAACATACTTTTAACTATTCTAAAGTTGCCTATTTTAAAAGGTTCAGTTAAACTATGGTGAAATTTATTCTTTACAGCAGATTTCTAATAATAAAACAAAAGCAACAAGCATTCCACTTTATGAAACCAGGAGGAAACAAAAAAAATGCCACACTAAAAACTTCTTTGCATGTTCTATTTGTAGTTATTCACTTCTATGAAAAGAATGACCTTTAATTAAAGCATTTTCACATAAAGCTAAAAATATCTCCACTAAAAGAGTGTTACTTATTAACTGAATGCAAATTACAGACAGTGCTACAGAGAGCTGATGTTGTATTAACTGTTTTCCGGGAAATCTATCAAAATAGACTCAAGATAAGAGTTGCTTCACTCCTGCTGTACCTGACACAATACCTTTACTCTCAGTGGGAAGAGTCATCAGCACAGGGCCACTGAAGTTCCACCTTTAGTATTTCAAATAGGCAGTTTCAAGTTTAAGATAACTCAGGATGTTAAAGTCGAATCTAGACATTAGTCATTGCAACACCTTTGACACAACTGATACAACCTGTAACAACCTGCTTTCTTTTCGCCAGGACTTTATCCTGAGAATCAACCACTGTAACAAAAGCAGAACTAGTGTGACACTGAATTCTAAATGCATCGATACTGACAATACTTATGCAATAATTTCCTATTGATGAAGTTGTTATTTTCCAGGGGAAAACCCTAACTCTATACAAGACACATCAAAAGCATTAAGAAAGCCACAATGACTTACATTTATTATGCTTTAATTAAAAACAACATTAAAGACATTGTGGTGAAATGGAGAAAGTTGACTGCTTAAAACAGAAAAGACCAGGGGACAAAAGGGTCAGATCCAGGCAACATCTTCACAGTGTATGAATGAACAGAAATCTGAATCACATCATACTGAACCACAGAATCAGTTAGGTTGGAAAAGACCTCCGAGATCATTGCATCCAACCTATGACCCAAGACCATCATATCAACTGGATCAGAGCACTAAGGTGCCATCTCCACTGTTTCCTTGAACACCTCCAGGGATGCTGACTCCACCGCCTCCCTGAGCAGCCCATTCCAATGTCCAGTCACCCTTTCTGTGAAGAAATTTTTTCTCATGTCCAACCTAAACCTCCCCTGGCGCTGCTTAAGCCTACAACGAACTACAACGCAAAGTTAAGATTACTATTTTCCATGTCAAACTAAAGCCCTGACAGGGCTCTGAAGTTCTGCCGAAGCTGCTCTGCTCAACCCTCAACCTCGGTTAACTCAACCCTGGAGACGAACCGGTTTAGCTCCCTGGTTATCAACACTCCAGTACGAGGCACAGCGGCTCCAGAGCTCTGCCAGACCCAGCACACGGTACCCGGCCACTTCTGCCCGGCTGGAGGGCGTCACAAACACCCAGATTTAGGGGTTTTAATCCCGGCCTTCTCTGCCCAAACCACAGCAAGCTTCCCGCTACGGAGAAACCCACCCTGGGCTCCTCCGGGGCAGGTCCGAGGCCCGGAGCCCGCAACTGCCGCCCCCGGCCCGCCCGCTGCTCACCCGCAGCGCCCGCGCCCGGGGCCTTGCGCCGAGCGCTCCGCGGGGAGGCAACCCCGACTCCCCCCGCCCCCCTGGGGCCGGCCGGGCCCCCTGCCCGCCTCTCCCCGCCAGTACCTGCGGCCACGGCCCCTTCACATCCCCGCCGGGAGCGGCGAAAGAGCAGGAGGAGACGGGGGCGGGGGAGGCCGGAGCGGGCGGCGGGAGGGGCCGGTGCCCGCGCGCTCCGCCGCCATGAGGGGACGGGACGGGACGGGAGGGAGGAGGGACCGGCAGCGGGACCGCGGGCGGCAACGGCGGCGAGGGCGAAACGGCGTCCGGGCCCAGGAGTCCGCTCCGCTCCGCGGGTTCCGGCAGCGCCCGCCGGAAGGGGCGCGGCCCCGGCCCCGGCCCCGCCTGCCGCGGGTCACGGCCGGCCTCTGGCAGCGTCGCCCGCTCCCGGCACGGCGACCAAGCATCGGGACCGGCCTGCGAACACCCCTGCGACGGACCCACAGCGCCGCGGAGCACCTGCAGCCGTGACAGGCCACTCCCGCCCCGGGCGCCCCGGCCAGCACCCGCGCTACCCAGCTCTTACACTGTCACGGAAAGTCACAAAATCACTGAACGGGTTGGGTTGGCAGGGGACCTTGAAGATCCAGTCCAGTTCCAGCCCTCCTGCCATGGGCAGGGGCACCTTCCACTAGACCAGGTTGCTCAGAGCCCCGTCCAAGCTGGTCTTAAACACCTCTAGGGATGGGGCATCCACAACTTCTCTGGGCAACCTGTTCCAGTGCCTCATCACCCTGACAATAAAGAATTTCTTCCTAATATCCAGTCTAAACTTACTCTCTCTCACTTTGAACCCATTCCCCCTTGTCCTGTCACTACATGCTCTTGTAAATAGTCTTGCCCTATCTTTCTTGTAAATTCCGTTTGGGTACTGGAAGGTTTGGTCACCCCGAAGCCTTCTATTTTCCAGGCTGAAATAAACACTTAGAAGCCACATGCAGGAAGTGCGGCATTATACAGAGCTGGGTAAAGGGTATGCTTAAGTAATCAATTTAATTCAGGTCCCACACTCTCGCTGCACACTTTACACCCCCAACCGCTTTAATCTCATACTAAGTAAATTGATAAATATAGTTAGACAAATATTTGTCCTTGGCTCAGAGCAAAGAGTCTTTCAAACAGTCAGGCTTCAGGCTCAGAGGGCTATTTGGATTCGTCAGGACTATCTGAGTAGGCTTTACACAGCTGCCTTATAACATAAAGTTTGGACAAACAACAATGCCAAAATACCTTTGGTAGCTCCAAAAAAGATGCAGCTCTGTTTCTTCAAACACGAGACAGTTTTGTCACATATCTTAGTGACAGCAGTTCCTACTTTTTTAGGCTTCTCGGGATTTGTGTTGACATTATCCTAGTCTGCACAAACAGCTGCTTCATTTTTGCTAAACCTGGAGAAAACTGGAAACAAAACAGAGAGAACCAATCTTGGCTTTCCCTCACAGGATACCCATAACAAAGCCATTCCTTGTCATGTTACCTGCTCTCTTTTTTCTCATTAAAAATGGTCCTTCAGTCTGTCACAAAAAATTAAATTTCTACAGCAATCAAAGCATATTATTCTCTAAGGCAACATTCCATTCCCCAGTGTAAAACTAATCTAGCATTCTTGACATGAACTTTGCAATTATAGTTTTACATATATGTGTGTAAATATAAAAATATATTTTAATGTATAAAACTACTATGGAATTTGCTGTCATTACCTACATAATGACACAGTAGGAGGCTAGCTTTTCTATGTTTTACAAGATACCAAAACTGTGAAGTCTTTGAAAAAAAGTTCAACAGCTGGTGAGAACGGTTTCTGAAATTGCTTAGAAAAAAATAAAATTAACACCTGTACCACCTAAACCAGATAAACAGAAGCATCTAAGTACTGATAGCTATGTTCAAAGTTTAAAAGTGCCTGTGATCATGCCAAATGCTGGTAATGCATACGCATTCATATTCCTGAGTTAAACAACACTCATGTCTGAAGCTAGTCAATTTAATCTTCCCCTTCCTCTCCTGCTCTCCACCCTTCAAAAACACCTCTCAACCAACCTAAAGCAATGAGTAAACTCCTGAAAATATTAAATAGACTCCTCTAAGCATTATAGACATTTCTGTCATTCAGTCATTCTCTGTTAATCCTCTTCCTCATGTTTCTTCAACCGCTAGTTCTGCTTAGCATACTGTCATCTGTTCACACAAAATATGAATTCAAGTGCTCTCAATTTGGCACAAATCTTTAAATATTTACTTTAAAGCCAGGGGTTCTGCTCAGTAACAGAAAATAGTCAGACCATCTCTGAGTAATTTACAACAGCATGGTATTTCAGGCATGTTTGCTGAGTATCTGGAAAGAACTCCAAACATGAGAAGGGTGGTAACCTGCCTAACTTAACCCATTCTTGTAGGGAAGCTCGGCCACACAAGCCATCTTTGTGACCCATGGATTTCATAAGGGAGGTGAGCTAGTGTAGGCACTTCTGCAAGGCTATCAACAGGGTTTTTCAGGGATTAATATCTATTATGTGTATAAACAACTTGTATTAAAAGGACAAGGAGCAAAAATACCACCCATACAATGTCGGGGAGCTCGACTGAGTTAGGAGATAGTCTGTGTTGTGTACTGACTCTTGTGCAGTGATTTCAGATGGTATAGGCACAGCAAAGGGGTTGCAAGAATGGCACCGTGTGCCATCCACCCCCAGCTGCTTTCTGGTACATGTTCCCTGGGCAGAATGGTGCCAGCCGGCAGAGTTTTAAAGCATCCCACCAGGATGGTGAATCCAGTCAGAAAACTGATTAGGGAATCAGGAAGCTCTAACAAGGTTCTGACGTCCACATCATGTTGCATTCACGAAGACGGCTGAGCAGAACAATGAAGTCATGTCTGCGAGTCTACACATACAACAGGTGCATTGTCACATACAAATAACTTCAGGGACTGGGCTTAAGACTTAAACTCTTAGAACAAACCTCACAAAAAATCAATGGAAGTTTTTTTTCTTTTGACACTATCAGATTTTGGTCTCTTAACACTCTTCCCATATGAACTGTGTTGGTGAGATAAATATGCTCAGGATTGATTATGTCCCAGACTTTCAATACCAGTGGTGTAAATGGCATATTTGCCTTTACCACAATGCTGCTGCCTTAGAGGCCTAACTCCATCGATAAACAAGAGGAAAACAAAAAGCTGAATTCTCCCGATAAAACATGTTCTCAAAAGAAACACTCCTCTATACTACCTACTTAAAAATCAGAGATGCTGCATGCAGAAGAAAAAGCCTCTCTAGTTTTTTGGACTATCTTTGTATATTGCATTAATATCATCAGCACCTCTAAAAATAAAATTACAGTAAAGAATCTATGCCAGTCTTTTCCACTGCATATGTTTAATATTGGAGAGAAATTTTTTGTTTAAAAATATCATTAAATTTTGACCAGCAGTAACATTGATGCATCCCCTAAACCACAAATGCCTGAATCACAGACTGAAACAGTTCTTAATCATAAATCCCACCATTAAAAAAACCCCCAACCAACCAAAACTTAACACACACACATAGATTGTAAGCCATGTATTTGCCAGTACCTGATGCAAGGAGCTAGGAATTTCAGATGAAGGATTAGACGGGCAGTCACTGTAATTTTCCAAGTGATTCTACAGGAAGCTCTTGTGACAGACAATAAATTAGACCAGTGACTTCCTTACAGCTGTTGCCACTCAATGCATACCCAACTGTGAAGCAGTAGATTTTGAAATAAAAGCACTAGCAAGTAGCCAGTGTATAGCAACGCAGGAACAGAGCATGTGTTAACCCTAAAGACACAGTTTAAAGTGACTGAGGCCTCAGCTAACATTTCTCTAGAGAAGTGTTCATTCTACCTGTGAGCAAACTTCAGTCCAATGAAGGCATTAAGACTATATAGCCTGCTGGTAGACTCCAGTATAGGAAAACTGAACCCTTAGTGTGGCAACTGATCGGTACCCATTGTGCCCACAGAACCTGCTGATCTGAGTAAATGCAAAACTGCTGTTTTATGAAAGGGAAATGGAAATAGTTTAGGCTTATGAATTGGGATTAGGCTGTAAAGCAGCTAGGTGTGGGGGAAACTTGACTTTTACCCCCCATGGGATAAAGAGGAATCACAAAACAAGCATTGAGCTAGAAATAAATCATTTATTTTAAAACAATACAGGTTAATAAATAGATTAGTTATCAGAAAACTTAATAAATAGCCTTTAATAATTTACACAAGGCAAATACAACATGCCTATAACTATTTTTTAAAAAGCAAAGAGAGTAAGCTTGACTTGTAAGCCGTTAACAAATCTATATATACATTATTCGTAAGCTAATAAAATAAACCATTTTTATGTAATCTGTAGTAACTATATTGCAAGAGCATTGAAGCAACCAAACCTGACAGTATATGTTTGTTGCCATCCACCTTTTCCCCATATCCCATTAGAACTATTTTTTACATTCCAGGAAAAAAAAAAAAGGGGGGGGGGGGGAAAGAAGAGAAAGTTCCACAGTTGAAAAAGGATTTAACTTAAAAATACCACTTTTGCGTAATATTTTCCACTCTGTAGAGCAACTGTCTCAAAAGGGGGGAGGACACAGGAGGATCCAACACAAGAACAAATAATTAAAAACCCCAAACTTATTTTCAGTTTTCAAAAAAAGATTTCTTAATCCGTAACATTTCAACACTGCTGTCTGAAACACTTGGGCACTAGTAATAGTAACTGTTGACCACATTGGTGCCTAACACAGTACAGACTAAAATTCTGCATTCTTTAAGCCCATACGTAGCACCAAAAATTATTACAAAGATAACAGGTAATAGATAAACATTTGATAATGCTTGATTTAACAGTAAAACTTCAGCAGTTACACCATCTCAAGACAATGAAGTAAGATCTGTAGAATCCTTGACGTTTTGTATTTGTGAAACAAGAATGTGAGAGGGGCATAACATGCAAACAATTGCCCATTTAAAGCACCCCCTATTTATAACCCTAAACTTCTTTAAACACAAACCCTCTATTTTTTAAATAAAGAGGAAAGGTAAACCTCACTTTCTAGTGTTCTGAAAAATTAATCCAGTGTTTCCATTTTTCAGTGCTAGTTACTTCAGAAAAATACATATGTTCCAATATAAATCAGTATTATTAATAAGAAGCTTCACTTGTCAAACTGTGATATGACAGGTTCCTATGTTAGCTGCAGCTCACTAATAAATAGGCTCTATTTACACATACAGAGTCCTGGAAAGTCAGTACAGCAGATAACTTGTTTAGACATTTTTCTTTTTTACAGAAGTACTTAAGATGTAACAAATTTTTTTTTTTTTTGGTTGTATCAAAAAGGTTTCTATTCTCCTATTGGACATTTGAGGGACTTTTGTGTTTGACACCTAATAAAGATCGTGACTGACATATGCAAATCCTCCATACACTGAAGGGATAATGATCAAAGAGCTATCCTCAAGTGAGTACCAAGTAAATATGTTTGACAAGTATAACAGAAGTCAGACATACAGAGTGAAGCGCCTTTCATATGGATTTGAATTGAATTCAAATGCGTTCCACCACTGCAACGAGTACACTTTTTTGTATGCGTAGCCTCTCCCACTTCTACTTTGGAATCAGAACTGAAGTCATCTGCCTCCCAGCTATCAACAAACATAACACAAAGAGAACGGGAAAAGGGCAGACCCACAAGGGACACCAAAGCTCAGGAGACAACTATGCACATTTGCTCCCTGAGATGATGAAACTCAGATATCTGTCTTATTCAAAGTGCTTACTTATTAAAGGGGTGAAATAAAAAAGAAAAACAAATAGAGCGAACAGCTAAAATTCAACTTCAACATTGCCTTCTTTTAAATCAGAAAAGCAATGAGACTAAAAAAGGTAGGACACCTAGAAAGAGGAGGGTGTGGGATGGAGTGGGGGAAGAACCTTATCAACAGTGACAACAGGAAATGCTAATACATTTCTAAAGTTAGAACTGAATCAGATCCAGGTACAGCAGAACTCAAAAGAACACTGCTACACACTGAACAAAATAGCAAAAATAAAGGTTTCCATTACTTAGCATTCAAGATGTAAAAGGCTGCAGATACAAGTGATGTGCAAGGCCACAAGAATTTCTTTCACCTTATGTGCTGGCTTTTGACATCTCTATTTTAAACATCAAGGGTAACTAGACATTTCTAGAAAGATCACAGATGAGGAGCAGCTGGAGAGAACTATGCAGACATTTATCAGTTGTAAGGATAGTCAGAGGACCACAGAACCTGGCTGCTACTTTGTTCTTCCTCTGCATAGTGAGCACTTATCAAGTAAACTTTGTGTGGAGCAGAAAGTAGCAAGGTTTAGACAGGGCAGTCAAGTTTATTTTAAATCTAGTATTAACTAATAATTTGCATATGCACCCAACATAATAGGACAGGCACTTTATAAATAATTAATTTTAAAACAAACCGAGACAAACAAATATGGCCAAAGGAGGAATAAGATGAGATCACAATCATTTTCATTCTGACCTAAAGATTTTCACTAAAGTCTTCAGAGATTAAAGACTAATATGAAACCAACATGCAACTCAGGAACTCTGAATTTGAATTTTGAAAAGACAATTTGACTGCTTCAGAAAACAGCTAACATTATTTTAAAAAGTAGATTAATACAGGTCTCAATCTATGCAGAATTCCAGTTTCAATCAGAAGGTAACTAACATGACAAAATATAACTGTTTGCTGAGAATCAAGAAACCATCTTCCAATCAATAATGGAGAGAAGTTAGTTTTAACCAGCTTCTGTAGCTCAAATCCCCTCATCTTTCAAACTTTCTAAAACCTATGCACAAGATTTGAAAATCCATGTAGATGGTCCTTTCTCTGCTAGTGCTACTCTGTTTCAATAAGATACCCAGTTACTGTGCTGGCCTATAACAAAGTACACTTTTGCCAACTCAAGTCACTCCCTTGCAATTTGGAGTTATAAAACAAGCTTGCAAATAATGTAGTAGGACTCTTGCGCCCTCAGAACAATCCCTCCAGAATACTAAATTTTTAGGATTCACTTTCGTGATTATTGCTGCCATTAGTAGGGCTTATAGCATTCATTTTAAATTAAAATGAGTTTTAAGGAAACATTAATTCAGGTTAACAAGAAAGATCACGAGAGCAGACAGTATTACACCCTGCTAATTGAAGTCCATGTTCTTGTCAGGCAGCCACAAATCTACATTCACGATTTCTGGATAAAGTGTCATGAACTTTCTCAAATACTGTCTTGTAACCACTTTGGGGGTTTTTGTTTTTCTCAAGAGACGTCTTGATCTAGAGGTGCTGAGTTCCATGGTACTCTTCCAGGTTTGTACTTACATGGAAACAAACATTCACTGCTTTGCAAGCATTCAAGTTTTTGACTCATGATGCTTCAGCTACCAAATATAAGTAGAATATGAACATTAACTGTTTCTTTCTTTGACATATCAGTATCCTCTAAATGGTTTAAACTGAACTGTTCAGAGTCATTCCCATCATAGCTTAAGATATCTGTACTACTTGTCAAAATATTATGGCTGAACTATTCACACAGGTCTATAAATTAGTGGAGCTGAATGCGTGTCCCTGTCAGTTATCTAAAACTCAGCTCTTTGAATGCCTAAGCTTTTTTGGTCTTTAACCTCATTTTGCCATGTTACAAGAGAAATCAGACCATCTTCTTTGTGCTATGAGAAATCTCATGCTCTCCTCTCTCAATTTTTTTGGTGGTCTCTATTTATTAGCTGCTTCACAAAATGGTCTCCTGCATTTAGTCACTGAACTAAAATAAAGGTATGCTGGGCTGTTTTCAACATGCCTCCTGTAGATTACCTCTTCTCATTAGGGCTATGAGTTTTTCAGAAGCTGTCAAGGCATTTGGGGGTTTCAGTTCAGGTTTGTCAATTCTTCCAAAAATATATGGGTCCTTCTAGATACTTTATGTGTTTAGAATCTGAATACAGTCCAATATTGTAGACAGTGAAACTGAATTATTAAACCAGTATAGGCCATCTGAAACAAATACATTCACAATTATGCAGTATTTTTGGATTGCAAAGGCACTGAAACAGTTCTGAGCTGCTTACAAATAAGCCACCATGTAGGCAATGAGTCTGTGCATCATTTCCATATCCTTCACAGGCTTTCTGTCTGCTCCCAATTAAAAACTGTCAGATTAATGCAGTATGTCTTAATGCAAGTGTTACAAAGTAAAATGCATACCTGGACACTACCATCAGCTGATAAGTAATTAGTGAAACAAATTTAAGGGTCCACTGCTCTGTATAAAGAATTAAATTTAAAACTCCCCAGTCTTCACCGCATGGCAGACAAAGTTGCCAAGACAGTCATTAAAAACGACAAATCTGCAGTTCATGGTTCAACCAACATTTATCTCAGAATTCACAGCCTTCATGGTGAACACGTTGCTATACTGAAATTAACAAATTGTCCCACTTTTATTTCCCCTTATTTTAAAGGTACACATCACTCATGATGGAAGGTGTCAGATTGAGTGAGTTAGAAACTGATGTTCTCTGCCACAGAAACGGTACCTCAGAAGTCACAATACAAGCTTTGACATGCAGGTCTGTCAGAGTATCCACAGACCTTTTCGGAGGGATTATCTTTTACAGTAAAGAAATACATCAGTCTCTATGCTGACTCAATCAGTGGTTGCAATTAAGGTCATTTATTGTGTCGACTGGGGTACATGGACAACTGTTCCTTTGAAACTGGATGGAGGCCTCCAATTCATTTCATATAGGCCACCAAAGCATAAGAGGGTAGTTACCTGCCTGAATCCTATTTGAATCAGTGACCTAGAAATTAAAGACTCTGCATCCTTCCCTGAGCCATCCAGTTTCCTCTCAAAAAATATTTTAATCTGTTTTCATGTTAGGTTTATTTAAATCTCCAATATTGAAGTTGAATTCCTTGAAGACTTGTATAAGAACGATTCCAATAGATACTGTGGTGAATCCACAAGCCATTCCCAAAAAATCTACCACTCCTACATTACTCCATTCCCTGAAAAGGATGGCTGAAGCCAGCAAGACTAGGGTGGTAAACACAACGTAGTAGATGGCACCAAACACAGAGGAGTCAAAACATTCCAGTGCCTTATTGATGTATCTGAACTGAATGATAATGCTACATCCTAATACTGCCAGAAGTACCAGACAGAGGTACAGAGCCCTTTGACTAGATGGGTTATTGTGAAAGATATCTTGAGCGGCCAGCCCAATGCCTTTTGTACTGGGAACAGTGAAACTGCCCAACAGAGAGCAAATACTGATGTAAACCATGATATTAGTAGGTCCATGAGCTGGAGCTATCCAGAAGATAAGCAGGAGAAGCATAAGCAGCACTATGCAGAGATAACCCACGAAAACTGGAAAACAAAAAGGAAACAACAGTAAGGTGAGAACTCCTGGTCTTCTAAAAATTTTAGCAGGCAAATCATGTCATACCAGTGAACTTCAGTACACATCACACTGAAGATTTGCTATTGAATACAGATCCAAATCACTGAGCTTCTAGAGATGTTGTGGGCATCTGCAACTGATGATGTTGTCATGTTCTTTGAGTAAAACAAATTATCATGTAGTCAGTGACACACTGTTGCACATTTGAACTGGATTTTGGATGGCTATTTTTATTTTATTCTCTCTTTCATAAGACTATACTTCTTAAAGTCTCCTCCTATGACAGACAGCAGGGACAACACCTCCTTCATAACCAGTTCAATAAGGCATGGTGTGTGGATCCAGCAAAGAGCTTAAACACAAAGTTACATCCCATTAAGGTGAGCAAGTGGAGTAGGGACAGTTGGAAGAAACGTGAGGCTGTATCACTTCTAGCATCAGTACACAGATTAGATCAGTGAAAAACATCTCATGCTTTACAGTTTTAAAGAAATACATTGCCAATTCATTTTGTTCAGATTTAAATTTAAATGTAAATTTACACCAGGGTATTTGTTTTCTTTGCTTGCAGATTTTTTGAATAGCTGATGTTATTAAGTTTGACTTTCACTTAAGGCAAATAAAAAAAAAACAATAGTTGTCAGTTTAGTTCTTAAGCAAGACAAATAAAACTGGGCCTGGAACATATTAGCACCAGTATGTGTCTTCCAGCAGCTAGTGAGAAAGAAAAAGGCATTTCAGCACATGTCTCAACAGCCTATTTCTCTACAACAGCCTATTTTTTGCTTTATTGTGCCATTGTTCTGAGCTTGCTGTGCAGGACAATGTTTTCAAAAGTATCCACGTTTTCCTTTCTGCACACAGATCTCAATAAATATAACAAGTTCTAAGTAGAGTAAGGCACAGTTTTCCTATACAAACCCTGTACTGGTTTCTCTTCAATGTTTTCTTCAAAAGTCAATTTTCCTACCTAATAGAAGTGTTAAGCCTCTTTCTCCTGCATGCTCTTGCTCAACATCACAAAACTGCTATGAGTTAATAAAAAACCACAGTACCTGGATTTGTAAGCTTCTCTTCAAGCTCAGCCTGAGTCGTTACACTCTCGGATTTTGGGGAATGGATGATGAGAACAACAGACCCAGCGCAGCTCAGCAAACATCCCAGCTTGCCAAGAATGTTCAGTTTCTCTTTCAGTAAGTAAGAAGCTAAGATGGACCTTTCACAAAGAGGAAGAAAAATAAAAGTTTGACTACATCCTGCTAATAATGTTCTAACAGTGTTGTGCCACATGAACTTCCTTCTTAAAGGAATATTATCAAATGTCAGTGGATCTTCAACCAATGTTGGTGAATCCTCGGAATGTATTTCTGACTTATCTTGGGAAAGATTCATCCATCTGCAGTTTTATTCAGTCCTTGACATCTCACCTCAGGAAAAAAACCAACACAACAAAACAAACCCCAAACTCCAACAAAACCGCTAACCACAACACCTTAAAAAACAGCACCACATCACCCCAGCAAAAAAAGCCCCAAAACCCAAACCCCCTAAAGCAGACATCTGGCCCCCGAGGCAGTTACCTACCCATTCCTGAATTGTTGAGCTGTGACAAAGCCCCATTTTATAGGTGCTAAGCAGTCAGGAGATAAAAGTGACCTTTAGTTACAAAGATCACAGGGCTCAGCTCAGACACGCAGCTGACCAAAGTACACAAAATTATGTGGCCTAGCATAAAATAAGAGGTGGTAAGTAGAGCACCATCAGTGTGCTTCATACTGTATAAAACTAAAGTCAGCCATGAAGCTGATGCAAAGCCATCTACACTCTGAAGCAGATGACCAGTGCAGTCAACAGAAAAATCTTGAGGCAATGTACAGCTTTGTTTTTAAAGAGCTGTGCTTTTTCACTGCATTAGTTCCACGGCTGTAGTTTACCTATTCACAAAACATTTAGTTGCATATTAAAGTCCTTAAACCCACTGCCTTTTCTGTGCCCCCCACAAACACAACATTTAAGAAGCTGGGGGCATGCCTATGCAAAGAACTCCCTTGCTTCAGGAAAGGGACCAAATCCAACAAAATGAAAATCAGCATCCATAAATACATGTGCACTGTGCATAGCAGGGCACAGAAAGACTGTGAGACAAAAGGAAAGGACTACTTAGTAAGGGAACTGTAAATAAGAGCATAGGTAGAAGAGTCCAGAATAACCACAGTGAAGGGAGAAAAAAAAATGTGTATCTGTTCTGAATCATAGTAATAGCTAAAGCAAAAGGTACTCAGGAAAACCCTTCTTCACCACTGTCTCCCCCTAGCCCCAGCTTTTCCAGGGAAAACAGGAATAGGTGACATTATAACACATTATTAACAACATAAGCCCAACATCATCTCAGTGGTCCTTCAGTGAGCACTGAGTCCATCTGACATTTTATTAAGTAGTAAGAATATCCAGATAAGAACAAGAAAAGCAAACTCTTACCCAAATGGAACGCCAAGAGCTCCCAAGGGCGTCACTAGCACAGTTGGGACTGCAGTGTAGGCCAAGAAATTCCCTATTTGACCCAGAGCCACTGAGAAAAAAAAAACAGAAATAAGCCTTTAAACCCCTTTGTAAGAAGAAGTAATCAAAACTTACCCAATATTGTTCGGGAAAGACTGACCTAACTAGAAATGAGATGTTACAGATTTGCTTAGTTCTGCTAATTTTGCACTTAAACAAAATGGCTGGTTTTTTTTTTTTTATATTTCTTTATTATTTCTTAATATAGCATTTATATTTGCCACACAAGAGTATCCAAGTGGGCACAGTAAATAATCGCTTCTGTAACTTCTCTTAGTTGAACATAAGCCTTTAAATTAGAAGCACTCATGGGTTACACTCAAATATCTCAGTATTACACTTAAATATTTATATGAGGAGGGCTAAAAGTACATATGACCCATGTTTTCATCTTTAGAATGTGCATGCACATAAAAAAATGCACTTGACTATAGTTCCTAACAGTAATGCTACTTTTTTGGGAGAAAAAAAGGACAGTACCGAGGAATCTTCTAATGAAATCCTAAGCACATGCATAAGGACTCCTCAATACACTACATCAAATAACACTATATAACATCAAGAGTCATTCCTGACCACTGTAAAAAGATCAGGTCCCTGAAAAGTCATAGAAACAGCCTCAAACCTTCTTTTTCTTTCCTCCAATTCAAATAAGTTCCAAGATACACCACACTATTGCACATCACAGCTGTGGTAACAGTTCATGAGTTCAAGCTTTCAGTTAAAAAATAAAAGCTGGGTGGTTTTGCAAGTGCTGGCAAGTTTATAATAGATCAACGTACTTGCATAGTTACAGGGTCTGTGGTAAATGGCAAGAAGCTTGAGATTGAGCACAAATTACATACAGCTCAAATTTCCAGCTGCCCTTAAAAGCCATTATCAGCATTTAAAAACATTTCAAGAATCCAAGATGTCTTTATGCTCAAGCTGGCATTGCCCTCAACTATCAAATATCATTACCATCATCCTGTTTTTTACACCTGCAAAGCACTGTGCAAACATTAATTAATTTACCAATTTAGCTCACATTATCAGTAGAGCTGAAGAACTGTGTAACCTACAGAAAACACGAAGGAGACAAACAAACTTGCAAAACTGCAGTGTGGCAAAATTACACTAATTAAATTCACTGAGGTTTTCTCTACATGCAGGAGTGAGCCAGAGAACTTGATGAGCAGCATTTCTAAAGCAGAAGAGACAGTGGTGGTCTCCCTGCCCCCGGGAACAGAGTAACTGCTATCAGACTCAGGCTTAGTTTTCAGATATATGTGGCAACCTCTGGCATTATCTTCAAGGCATCTGAAGGCCCTGGGGCAGATCTTGGATGCAGGATGGAGCACAGCTGGCATGCTGCGCTTCGGAAGATTACAGACATTTCCAAACAACTCTGACAAAAGGTTGCTTTTTTTGGAGGCCAAGGTGTCTTAACTTTCTGTTGGAAGAACTCCTAACAGATGGCACCAACAACAATCCATAAATGAGGTCTCGGAAGCTTCAGTCAAACCAAACGTATCACAAGGCAACTGAACTTACTGGAGGATTTCCATATCACCATGGGTATATTAACAGTCCCTAACCGCTATGAACGACCAGGACTAATTAAGACCAAATAAAAAAAAGGATCTCATTAATTGTTACCATCTACCTGATGATGAGGACCTTTGCTGTCAACCTATCCAGTCCTCTTTGGACAAAAATTCCTCTCCAGATACATCAGTGCTGTAAGTCGAAACATGACTTCAATTCTTGAAAGCATACCAAGGTTTAACCTTGGTAAAGAAGTACCAGTAGCCCCAAAGTTATTGCAACACAAAACTTGATGCACACTGGTCTGTCTACATTAGCAAGGAGACCAGGAGTACAGAAAAAGGTATCTGCTCTAGGCATGTCAGGGGCTTTATTTCAGGCTAACTTCTGCCTGCTCCCATGAGCTGGAAATCTACTTGCATCTTGTATGCATTAAGTGTGTTCCTAGACTGCATCTTCCAGCATAATTTCATGTTAAAGTCCAGTTCAGGAGCTCCAACTCTGCTATGAAATGTGAAATAAAGGCCAATCCATGGTGAAAAACAGGAGATTCGCTTCACAAGTTTATTCCCCATCTGCAATAAAATAATAACACAGACAGATCCACTATAAAAAACAGCTGCCTCTATGCTGCCATCAAAACCTGCACTGAAACTAATTAATTAGCCAGTTAATTACTTTAATGCTCATTGAAATACCTGTACACATGCTGCAATCACTCTTTTGACTACAGTGAAAGAAAAGTCTCTCAGCAGAACCTGCAGCCCTTCCTTTCAAGTCCTCAGTAATCCAGTGGATCCCAGGGCCCCAAAAGAGTTAGGCAGTGTTATGCTGAGTCAGCATGCCAACACAGAAATGCTTGTTCACCATCTGAACAAATACCATGAAAAGAAGTTCACAGAGTCTACACAGGTTTTGTACGTCATTCAAACTCCAAATTCCCTGCTTGATAAAATTATATCAGATGCTATAATTTCATCAAGATAACTGGGGATATTGCTAATTCCCCAAATAGCACCATTCTCTGCATCCCATAGGTGCCTACCTGGCCCTTGCTATTGCTGTTTGTGACTTTTTTGCCTTACTGAGTCTATCATATTGATAACAATTCTTCTTGGTTCCTCTGTAAAGCTACTGAGGCTTTGTTTTGAAATACCTGCATCTTGCAACTGGAAAAAAAGCCAACTGATACCACTCCCTTCAGCTGTTTTGCCTTCATTCAATTCAGTCAGCTCTTTTAAGCATGAAATTGTTTTCTCTGATTCACCAGGATAAGTCCTGTAATAAAACCTCTCTTATTTTAACTCCTTCTGCTCAGAGATTACAGACGGGAGCCTCATGAGTGATAAACAACAGAGACTGATGCATAGATTTATTTCTACTTAGGCAGCAGTGATCCTGGCAGAGGAGGAAGCTGACAAAGAACTGCTTAAAACTCAGGTTAAATTAGGTGAAGACTTTCTTCTGAAGCTCTGCTGGCTTTTACACTTGTGAACTTTGTCCTTCAAAGGGATCTATCAGTTTTTGTTCCTTTTGCATAGCTTTAAGACAACAAAAACAAAAACCAGAGACTTAACTTGCTGCCACAAAACCAGAGGCACAACTGGACTCATATACTTCTCAGAAACAGCATCAGAACATTTCCAAATAATTCACAAAAGGCTGGATTAGAGTCTAAAAGTGGGTATAATTTTAAGCTTGTGGGTAGAACTAGAGCTGACCTGCAAGAGGAGAAAGCTAGTTGCTCCCCATGCTCCACATTCACATCAGAGAATTAACTTGGTGCAAGTAGGGTTTACAAAGAAATTAAGGGTAAAATTACACTGATATCAGTACCACACAAGGCTTCATGTTAATCTTGCAGATTAAAAGCAAAACTGAAACTATATCTGTTGAACTAGAACTCAAAAAGGATCTTTTTTTTTTTTAATTGAGGCTGGTTAAGTGCTTTCTGATCTAAAAAATAACATGTGCTCAATGAGCCCTTTTGTGCAGAGTGACAATTTTTAATTCATCTTTGACTTTTATTAAAAACTGAGCAGGCCAGCACAATCCAGAGACACAAACCATGCAGGAACCCAGAGTCAGAGCAGTGTGTGGCTGCCAAGGGCTGCAAGTACCCAGTGGTTTGGAAGTGTGGAAAGATGTCTGACTCATGTTAGTCCCAGCTCTTTGCTTTCTCAAACACCAGCAGGCACGGTAGCCAGAGTGGTGGATTACTAATGGTGGGATATTTCTGGGGATGGGAATTTCATGACAAGTGAGTATGAGACTCAATATGAAAACCCAGATTTCCTGATGTCTCGTATCACCATTGAAGCCCAACTCCTCTTTAAAAAAAATTCAAACCTTCTAAGATACTTACTTGCGATAGTGCCAGACCACCATACTATATCTGTTAAGTATGAAGTACCTGAAAGAGGAAGTATAGGAAAATATAGTTATTAAGGACCTTCATCTTAACCTGATTCTTCAAGGCAACTGAGTGTGAAGAGGAAAAAAAGAGAGAAAGTTCTCGGATTTGGCTTATGTGTCCAAGTGAGACTTTCTTAAGACAGTGTATTAGTCAGAAGTTCTGATTTCCACTTTGAAGTACCTATCTGATGCTAATGTAGTATTGTGTAGAAGAGCATCCAAAATGTCACCAAATGCTTCTGAGGGTGACATTTAAACATACAGATTAAAACCTATGGGAAACCTATGGAAACAGAATATGATTTGGATCAATTAGTTTTCTAATATAACTTCAGTGAAATTGTTTCAGAAAAATTGTACCAGAGAAATTATTTTGGCACAGGTTGGCAGGACCGTAGTATGGACCAATCCTCCTGCATTTAAGCACTGAGAAGTGCTATGACTGAAGCCTCTGAATTCCTGATACCCTGCCCTGTTTCAGAGAGAGAAGTAAAACCTCTGGATTGACCCATAGTGCCTCCCAAGTTTGAGGATGATTATTTTCACTGTCAGTTTATAAGCTCTTGCCTTGGGATGTGCCCATGTGGAGCCCCTATACCACGTTTTATAAGTTCTGCTTCTGTAGAACATCAAGGCTTTCTAAACTGAAGCATGGCCTTCTCCAAGTACAATCTTCACCTCACATTATGCTTCTGTTTTGCTCCTCTTTCTAGCAATACAGCTCTGCATTTATTTGGGAAGATGCTCTCTCAAAAGCCACTGGAGCAGTAGACAATATTGTACCTACCCTGAAATCCCAAATGAAAGAAAAACACAGCCATCTATAACTCTGGAAATATATAAAGCACTTGGAAATCAAACTATATAATTGAAAGGAGATGAAAAATGACTAGTGAAAATGGCCAGCTTTTGAGTGGGTGTAATAAGTTTTTAGGCTTTTGTTACTGCACATAAAATAAAAACACTGTTGGAGGCAGAAATTATAGAAAATATTGACTCAAGTAAGGTAACTTTGAAAAATATTTGTCACTTGCTGCTGTTTCTAACCAGGCAAGTATTACTAATTGAATTGATACTATATTATTGATTGAATAGAGAGGGCAGAAAAGACTTGAGGTGCCTCCTTGTTAATTATACAACACCTGCTGAAGCCAATGGAAAAAAGACATCATCTGACACAGACGATCTCGGACTCACAGCTACAACTGCTAGGTTGGAGGCAGAACCCCGCTGCTTCGTAACATTAAATAGAGAGAAACCTGGGGTATTTTCCTGGATGCCTCCACACTGAGCACAGCAATAGAAAGTACTACGAACTGCTCAGCAAGATACACAAATAAACATCACTACTATCTTCAAAACAGGATGTTTTACAGCTGCTAGCACTGAGAAAGTAGGCACACGCCCATCACACACTCAACTCAGTGCTCCACTGAAAGCTCTTCAGGAGTAATTAGACTCAACTATACTGCAAAATGGAAACTTCCCACAGCTGCCTTGAGATGGAAAGTTGTTCCTTTCTCTTGTGTTTTCTCACTGTTTCCTTAAAAAAAAAAAAATTGTATTTATGATGCAAACGTGATCTCTCTGTGGACAACAAAAATGGATTACAGCCATCTTGGAGAGAAAGGGAAACTATACTTGCAAAACCAAGTCTGAGGCCCTTAATTTTAAGGTCACTGCAGAAAAGGGAAAACAAACTTTTTAGATCAGGCTGGCAGCTGGTAGTGACATAGTTCCAAAGTCTGCTTTGCTCCACTGCATCCACTATTAAAATGCTAAATGCAGCAGGCATGGGAAATAAACTGCTGCTCTAACATGAACCATCTCAAGTATATTTATGTACATAGATGTATACAAAGGAAATACCTTGCCTGTCCTGGTCACTGAAAAGGATTTTTCAAAAGAAAGAGTTCCCAGAACCTATGGACACATACTCATACACAGACACCATCATCTACAAAAACAAATGGCTACTGACTACAGTAACAGAATCCAAAGGGCTCATGCAACCTGTGTTTACAATTTTCCCCTTAAAAGCATGATACTAAGAACAAATACACTGAACTTTCCTATATTCAAAGCATGATGATGCAACTAGCAAGTGCTGTTCAACTGCGTGCTTTTGGGAGCTCCAATTGCAAAATAAAACACAGAAAATCTTCACACTCTGAATATATAGTTTTGCTTTGGCCAAACTGTCTAGACAGCACAGTCAGTTTCTGAATACGTTCACCTCAGAAAACAATAATGAGACATAGGATTTCAATGAAAAAAAAAAGCATATCATGTTACTGATGCATATTTCTTCTCAACAAGAGGAAACCACCGTGTGACTGATGAACGATGTAACTTGGAAGGGCTAGAATAAATAAGTGACAAGATGTGTGGGTGGTGTTCATGGCAAGAAACTAGCAAAGCCAAAGAAACTGGTTGGAAAGTCCCAAAAGTACATGAAAAAGAGGAACCTATGTATGCACGAGCGTACATACAACACCCAAGTCCCCAGTGTTGTGTTACAAGGAGACATAAGACCGGCGAGCTGACCATACATCAGGAAACTGTTGCTGGTGCCCACCTTCACCCACTCTCGGTGCTGATACATCCTGACTGATCTCCACCTGCCGTCTCTCCGGTCATTTATCACCTCCCCGGCGCCGCTATCCAGCCATGGACCTCTGATGTCAAACAGGCTTAAGCTGACAAACCGAGGCCGGCTTCCCCGGAAAGGTGTCCCCCGCTCCAGGCGACACCGCCACCCCGTCGGCAGAGGCTGTGTCAGGGCCCGGGGGTGCCCGTGTCCCGCGGCAGCCCTCCCGCATCCTGCCCCCTGCCCTCTGGTCCGGCCCCGCCGCAGCGCGGGAAGGGCTGCGCGGGGGAGAGGCGAGGGAGCGGCCCCGCGGGTGGCCGGGCTGCCCCGGGGAGGGGGGACCCGTTCCGCACGGCGCCGGGGGCGATGACCCGCTCACCCGGGGGGGATACCGGGCGTGCCGAGGGGAGCCTAGGAAGCCCCGGGAGGGGCGCTCCCGCCCTCTGCCGCCGCATCGCCGGGCCCCTACCTCTCCCGCGGGCCCGCACGATCCCCTTCTTCTGCAGGACGAAGGTGGAACCGTTCACCAAGCTGGAGACCACGGCCACGCTCAAGCCCAGCGACACGGCGGCGGGGCCGGGGCTCTGCGCTGCCCCCTCACCCGCTGCCGCACCGACCGCCATCCGCATGGCCCCGCCGAGAGCTGCAGGCGCGGCGCCTGCCCGGGCCCAGCGCTGCCGGCAGCGGCTCTGCGCGGCACCCGCCCTGCGCCGCCCTGCGCCGGGACCCGCCCAGCACCGCGCTGCGCCGCGCCGGGGGCGGCTCCGGCAGGGAGCGGCGGATCCTGGCGCCCGTCCCGCGCGGGGACGGCACCGGGTGGCGTCATGGCCGCGGCAGTGCCGCCCCGACGGCAGGTCTGACATCACGGCTCGGGCCGGGCCGGCCTGGGGACGTGCCGAGCAGGAGCTCGGAGGTGCGAGCGTCCACGGACAGGGGGCTGCGGGAGGACATGCCGGGGGAGGCGGGAGACGAGGGAGATGTGGGAAGGTGTGCAGAGGGATGTGGGAGGAGAGGGGGATGGCAGCAGGGCGAAAGGATGTGGGGAGACGAAGGGATGGGAGATGAGCAGAGGGATGTGGTCTGCGGGACGGACGAGTCCCGCCGGGCCACGGTTTCTGGTATGGGAGCAGCGCTGCCTTCCAGTGCTCTCGCTTTCCTTCGGGGTTTTTAAAATTCATGTCGGGTCCCCGCTCCAGCCAAAGCACGGGATGTTGCGGCGGCACAGCGAGAGCGAGCCGAGGGCCAGGCGGGAGCTCAAGGCCCGGAGCTGCGGCTCGGCCCGCTCTGCCACCGTCCAGGTCAGTGTGCTGGGCAGAGCTGGGGAATCAGCGAGCGACTGTGTGGCTACGGACTGAGAAGGCTCGGCCACCGGCAGGAGTCATAGGCATTGCCTGAAAGCTGTAGGATCCATGCTCACTCCAATTTTGTCCAGCAGTAAATCCCAGAATCTACATTTATTTCCAGGAAAAAGTTCACTCTCTGGCACAGGCAAGCTGAGATGCTCAAAATCAAGAACCTCCCCTCGCCTCTCAACTATCGTTCAGTTATCTTCCATGTTCTGGGAGGGCAGAACATAAGCCATCCTACTGTAATGGAAAAGGGCCAGAGATCTTTCCAGTAGCAATACAGCTGGGCCATCATGGGGCCACGGATCTCTCTTTGAGAGTACTTGGTCTCTCAAAGATGAAGTGCTGAGTTGAAAGCAATCTTCCTTGCTCAGCAGAAATATTTTGTAGCAGGTATCTCATTGCAGTTCTTATCATTTCCAAATATATGTTGAAATAAATCAATCCATAATGGATTTCTGCGGCAACATCCATTTAGGGAAATGGGTTATCATATCTTGGCTAAACAAAAGTGAAAGTGGACATTTTTGTCTTTTTTAACTATTGGGCACGGTTCTTAGCGTACATTTTAGCATTCCCAGGAAACAGGAGTTTAGAGAAGAGGCAAATTCCTGAAAATTTTGCTCTTGTCAGCATATTTCTCAGTTTGCCTACACTGCTCAAGGCAGTTGTCCTAGGAAGGCACAGGAGGGCCGTGACATGCTTTTGTTAAGGTTTAGTGACAAGATAATACTGACTGCAGTAGTGCCCATATTTTCACCTAGGTTGCTTCACCAGGTCGTTGTATCTCTACTTAATGCTATAGAACAAAGGATTCATCCTTGTGAGGCTCACAAGACCTGCAAAATGAGAACACAGGAGGTGGAAGAATGGTTATCCGTAGCAACCCTTGGAAACAAAGATAGAGGTGAAGACAAATACAGGCTAATTATAAATATTCGTTTCTGATCTATATACAGCCTAGTAACACGCACAGGAAAATTTATTACAGGAAATAATTTATGCTTGCACAGTGGAAAAATGATATATATTTAACAGCCTTTGCATCTAATTATCAGGCAAGTTTCTAAACAAAGCTTAAACCTGACCAGTTTATATTTAAAAATCTCTCTCTGGTATGGTTGAACCAAGAAAAAAACAGTACCAGAGATCCCAAGAAAACAGTTTATTTCTCTCTAGCTATGTGATTTTAATATTCTACTTGTAAAATTTATATATGCCTTTCTAAAGTATGTATTTGGATAGGTTATTCTAAATATGCTTATTCTGCCTTATGCGATTGTTTACTCTTACACTTGCCATATAATAGGTGTAGTGTTCCTAAGGATTAGCCATAGGCTAAAGTAATAAACACAATGCTGTAAATACTAAATTTGAAAATAGCTTGAAAAATAGGTCCTGAATTCATTAATAATATCGGCATTACGTAGCTTACAAATAATTTGGACTAAACCATAAAGGTACCTTGAAGAAAACAGTTGTTGTCATTAGTTGAATGGAAATTAGATAGCCTTTCTTAAACTATTACATGCATAATCCTGTATATATGTATAGACTCCTGAGGTCTGTCTGGTCTTCTGAGACTGAGTTTCATTGTGATAGCATTCCTCCTGCCGAAGTTGTGTCAATACATTTGTAATAAAGCGGAACAAAATGCCTTGAGTTAGTTTGGCTTGTACATTGCAATCTTGCAGTACTGCTGATGTCACAGCAGTCTGATATCTTGTGATTCCACAAAGTGCATAGGAGGAACCTCTGATTTATGTGGCATTTCCTCCAACAAACTCTGCTCCCTTCCATCAGTCTTATCCAACTCCAGTCTAAGCACTCATAGTACTTTTTGTTCCACACTTGTTGGCCACTTATTGCTAATTCAAGCAATATGAAAGAGCTGGTATAAAGAGTGTACAGGTTGCTTTAGCCAAGTAGCTAACACTGCCCTGGTAGAGTATGGGTGTTTAGGATCAGTTGAGAGGTAGAAGCGTATTTAAAAGACATTTGTAGGGCTCCTACCCAGAGGAAGGGATGACAATTGAGGTACATCTGTTGGAAGCAAGTGAGCAAAGTTGGTAGAGGTTACACCATTTTTTTGTAGGGGCAATGGACAAGAAGATAATGTGAAATTCCTTACAAAATAGCTGGGAGAACAAGGTGAAAGTTTACCAACAGCTGTATCAGACCCTGAGGCAACAGCAGTAAATCTCCTTGGCAGAAGAACTATAGAGATCCACCGTGCCAGCAACTGAAGCAGTATGAACTGAGACTGTAAACTAAACAGCAAGAAGACAGTGACAATCCTTCTACTTTTTCCAGCTCTTGAGAATCAAAGACCACAATAAGGGCAGTTATATTAGGACTTCTGTAATGTTCCACTGAACCTAGGCCTGAAGGTGACCTAAAAATCCTTTCTAAGGTGCCTTGATCAGTTGCCTGGAGTATAAAAAGTGACTGGTGTAAGCGGGCCATCACTGGTATGAGTGGGTCCTACTTTGGCAAGGAAGTCACTTGAATCTTGGTTGTAGTCCAGCTCTTGATTTGCTATGGGCATCCATATCTGTTGATGGGAGGATATATGGAAACCTGCTTAAAGGTACTGGTCTGCATTGATGGGTTCTGTAAGCTTTTTGGCTCTCTATTCCATTAATAAGGACTTTGTTGGACTGGGCCAGCGAAGACAGTGTAGAGTCTTTGGAGCTTCTTATCGATGTGCAATTTTCAAAGTCTGGTCTAAATGAGTAATAGAAGTATGCTGCCACTTTTGCACAGGAAAAAAAAAATTCTCTCTTAAATGACAGTGTCCACTGTCAGTATTTCTAGTGTTTTGGGAGACTATCAGCATCCTTCCTGAAGACATGGTGCAAGACTGATGTGAGGTTACTGACACAGAAAGCATAGCAGGTGTATTGCAGACAGACCACACCATTTCAGCTCTTCTGCGAGGAAAACAGATCTCTTCAGAGAGAACGTGCCCCTCATGCAGCAGACTAGACAGCTAGTTCTGATGGATGTTCATGATCACACTGTGGAGAATCCTTGTTAATTAATATCATACCTACTCACATTTGCTCTGCAGAAATCACTTCTAGAATCCTCTGTTACTAGGGAACATAGGAAAAAGCACAAATTTCCCAGTTAATCTTGTAGCAGATGCTAGAGTCCACCTACATTAGTTGCAAACTCTGACCAGGACATATTTTTCTATGTTGATTTCTGGAAGTTGAATACACAATCTTAATGTGACAAATATAGTACATGTATATCCAGCTCCTTGTCCTCCTATATTAGGAATGTGGTAAAAACCTAGTCCATGCAAGTGTTTTAGCACAAACCTTTAGAACTAGGCTTCCAAGGTATGGTCATCACTGTCATCTTAAAAAATCCCCAGGCTCTATCACAATCTTGCACAAGAAGAGTTTGCTTGTCTTTCCCATGCCTTGTCTTAGTGACATTATTCTTCTGTTTGAGCTAAAGGGAGTTCTGGCCCTTGTTTCAGACTTACAGATGTTGTCTGTATGCTTTGTCTATAAGCTTTGACGTGGTGATCTACATCACTTCATAAGCTACATATCAAAATAGTGTGTAGTAATCTTTGTATCACCTATGATGAAAGTCTCTTCCTGTTGATCAGCTGCTGAATTCCATGAGCGAAGACCGAGTTTTAGGGTACACCTTGGAGCCTTAGACAAATAAAATTCTCTCAAGTGAAGAACCTTGGAGGCACTCCTATTCATCCAGTAAACTCACTTGTAAGACTCGCTGGGTAGGTCCAACGATATATATATCGTTTTCCTATTGCATTGCTCCTCAGCAAAACATCTTTTCTAGCAGACACCTCAGAGGAATATAGCAGTCAGCTGCCTGCTCAGAGATCAATCTTTGTACACTTGAGTGCTTCCTGTACTCCAAAACTGGAATTTCATGATAAAGTTTATTTTGATATGGGTGCTTTTGTATGGGCTGATGCAAACTGTTTCTAGGGAGAGTCTACCAGGCACTGCATGATAGGAGGCTTTCTGTAAAGTTCATCTGCTTTAGATCAGGGCAGCTGCAAAGCCAGCTACGTTCCTGAGCAGTGACCCCTCGACAGCATTCCCCACAGTTTATATGCTGAGCATGATGCCATATGGTATGGGATATCCCTTTGGCCAATTTAGATCAGCTGTCCCTGCTGTCCCCCCACCCAACTTCTTGTGCCCCTCCATCCTTCTCACTGGCAGTGCTGAAGGTGGCATCCTTCTCACTGGCAGTGCGAAGCTGAAAATTCCTTGACTTAGTGTCAAAACTGAGTGTCAAAAATTATTTATCAAGAACTAAAACTGTGTCTTATCAACATTATTCTTA